AGAGAGAGAGAGAGAGAGAGAGAGAGAGAGAGAGAGAGAGAGAGATTGTGCTCAATCATTTTCTGTAGCTTTAACTTAAAGCTGCCATTCTCTCCTTGACAAAGATAGGAAGTGTAGATTAAAGTAGCAACTTGTAAATTCCGGAGTGGGCGTGGCATCATGGACGGAGGTCACACAGAGCAGAAGGGAAGAACAGCTCCTGCCTCACTGATTGATCTTGACAAGTTACTTTAACCTTTGATTAACCTGTCTGTAATAACAGTGTCACCCTCGGGGCTGTGCTTACATGTGCTGTATCCTGACCTGGTGCTGCCGTTGCTGCTTCCAACTCTGACCCTGTGGCATCACTGTGTTTCTCCTTTCCCTAGTCTCTTCAGCACTTCGCAACACCAAAGATAGTCCTGTACTCTTTGACTTCTTTGAGGATTCTGAGCTCTACAGAAAGCAAGCCCAGGAAGCCCTTGACAAGTACAAAAGGGAGAATGGTGACTTTGCCTCTTTCAGAGTGGAGAAGGCAGAACGGGTTATAAGAGCGGTGAGTTCCTACTACCCCAGCCTGGCGGATGTGAGCTGAGCTGCTCGTCCTGTACACCAGCCTTACCTGGGCAGCTGCCTTTTAAATCGTGGCAGCCTTTGATGTTTAGTGAACAACAATCCCATAACCTTCTCTTATTGAAGAGACAATGGGATGAGGATGGAATTATTATCTGACAGGAAAAAGAAAGCCAAAAGAAAGACAAGAGCATTATTGGATTATTTTAGCACTAAAAACCATCCAGTGTTAGACTCTTTATGGTAGAATACTGAGGCTCAGACAAAGAGCCTCGCCATGAATGGCCAGCTTTATAGCTGAGGCTAAAATCTCTGCCTTGTAGATCTAGAGTTCTAGTGCCTCCCACCCAGAGCTGTCATGTGGAGTTAATGTTTTAGCATTTTTAAAAAATATGTATTTTTAAGACTTATGTATTTCTCCCTCTCCTTCTCCCTCTCCGTCTCCCTCTGTGTGGGTGAGAAAGAAAGAGAGAGAGAGAGAAAGAGAGAAAGAGAGATGGGGAATTGAACTCGTTCTTTGAAAAGGCAGTATGTACTCTTAACTACTGAAATATCTTCCCCCAGCCTCTGCCAAGTGTTTTGAAAAGAGAAAATTAAATAGATCATGGTGTTTCAAGCAATGGGAATGAATACAATGTGGCTTCCTATGCAGAATGTTCTGAACCAGCAGGCACTGGCAAGAGGGGAGAGGAATGTTGCAAAACAATACTTAGCAAGTGAGCCCATGTATCTGAAGTATTTGAATGTCTGCACACTCTCACATGTGGACAAAGCCTGTAAAGAGAAGCACATCAAACCAGTGGGAATAGGGCTGGGGAGATGGTGCACAGGTTCAGAGCACTGACTGCTCTTCTAGAGGACCTGGGTTGGATTCTAAGAACCTACATAATGGTTTGGTTCACAATCATCTGTAACTCTTGATCCAGATCAACACCCTTTTCTGACCTCCTTGGACAGAAGCATATGCAGGAAAAACACCTCACAGATAAAAACGTAAATAAAATGAAAAAGAAGTAACAGTGACACCCCCAAGAATGAGGATCTGGAGCTCAGGGAGGGTGTTTTCCCTGCTATGCCCCTGCCTGTATACTACAGAATTTCTGGAGAATGGCACTCTCTTATGACTGATGTAATACATTTTTATTCAGCAGAAACCGAAGGAAAATAACATGCATTCATCATTCTAATTCCCTTAGTGTTATACAAGATGTTGTATAATAGGTATCTATTACTTTTCCTCTTAGCTTCTATGCTCATGAAACTGTGTTGATTCCTCTGTTCTAGAGAGGAGGGGAAAGAACCAATTACTACGTGGAATTCTCGGTGAGGAACTGTTCCACACAGCATTTCCCCAGATACCCTCCGGTAAGTATGACGCACTGTCCTTTAGAGAGTGCCCACTACCCCAAGGGGCTCCTCATACACAAGTTCACGCCACCCTAGAACTTAAGCACGCATACTCATTCTGATTTGCAGATGGGGAAATGGTTTCAGAATATACATGACATTATATAAATATGCCTAGAATTGAATCTTCAATTCTTTAAGACTCAAGGCTTAGTGAGCTAGTAACCAGCATATACTAAGGCCATCCACACCAAGTATTGACCCTTGCAGTTATTCCAGATGACAAGTGAGGATATCACTGTGGTCCTGCCAATCTTGGTTAGAATCTAGGACTTCTTTCTTAGTAAAATTGACGAATTATCTGCTGGAAGTTCTTACTAACGATGCCCAATATTTCTTCCCTTTAGTCCTCACTTAGCAGGTATTTGGTCACTGTGATGAGAAAATGACTAACGCACCCAGTATCTTGGTGTTTACAAAGCATCTCCACATACACTATTGTCTGCTGAGCTTCCTGACGTCCCCACTGTGGAGATGCATGTGTCTGGCTCAGTTACCCTGGGATGAGGCCTGACACTTACCTGTGTACTCTTAGCTGATTAGTGTTAGCAACATGGAACTTTGTTCTGTTCATATATGTATGTACATGTATATGTATACATATATGTATATACATTCCAGCTGCTCAAATTCCCCACTTGAGCCAGTTGTAGATTCCTCCTCAGAAGCCACAAAAGACAAATACGCTGTTGTGTTTGTGTGGTGCTAAAAACCAACTGCAGAGTCGTGAAGGCTGGAGAAGGGGAAGCTAGCAGCCTCCCCTCACTTAACTAAAGCTGCTTGTACCTGTGGGTATCCCACTCCTTTACAAACACTGAATTTCAGAACCGTTGTACAGTTCATTTCTCACTGCTGGTAGGTGGCAAGTCCACATTCATATAGGTCTCTTTGACTTCAAAACTGTACAGATAGCCTCAATGCATAGCTTTTTCCAGAAATGAATTGTCTTCTTGCCCTTTTACAAATGGGTTTAGGGGCTTCTGGAACACAGCATGCCAGCCAGTTAGAGCCAGCAGACACTCACGTTAACAGGGCTCAAGCAAGTCCATATTTTTAGCATCTCTGCCTTTCCCAGCACTTGCCAGCTACACAAATCTATCTCCAACAGCATTTCCTGTCCTAGCCACAAGCAACCCAGGTCTTTATTGCAGAAACACTAGCCTAAGGGCAGCAGGACGTGTGTCCCTAGTACTACATTCAGAAGTACAGTGCTTGTGTCTGTTCATGGAAGAAACCCACAGAAGTCTGATAAAAGCCTGTGGAGCCAGTACTTCATCCAAGTGTTGACTATGTGCCAATAAAAAAGAGCTGCTGCTGTATGTGATAGTATCGTCTTTCCTTTTCCTTCTTTGTTTGGGTGTGGTGCATGTATATCAATGATTCCATCAGGAAGACACAGACCTGGCCCCTTTTCTCTTGTCCATTTAAAGTTTTTCTTGGCTGAAAACTTTCACACCCCTGTGGACATACACACATATGAACACATTCACTGTGTACTCCTCTTACACACACTAACAGGCATTTCTCTTTGAAGGTCTTTGGCTTCTGCAGAGCAGTTTTGTCCTACAGTATAGAAGCCTCTGACTTGGAAACCCCAGAACACACTGACGTAAACTGTGAAGTCTTCAACATTGAGGTGGGTTGGCTGAGCATCATCCTTCATCATGAGCAGGACCAGACAGACCAAGTGATAATTTCTCTCACATAGTACATTTGGTTCGTTTGGTTCTTGTGATGGGTATGTGCGTGTGCATGCGCATGTGCATGTGCATGTGTGTAAGAGAGAGAAAGAGACACAGAGTCACGGAGTAGGTTTGTTGTCACCAAAACCATGGCTCCATAGATTTTATTTGTTTACTTGTTTGTTACTTTGCTTTGTTTTTTTGAGACAAGGCCTATCTAGCATTGGCTAATCTGGAACTCACTATGTAAACCAAGCTGGCCACAAACTTATAGAGATCTGCCTACCCCTGGCTCCTAAGTGCTGGGATTAAAGTTATACACTGTGACACCTAGCCATAGGTGCAGCACCATGCCTAACCATAATTTTTTTTAGTTAAAGTCTGTTTTGGTATACAACTATAATTCCAACATGTGGGAAGCTGAAATAGAAAAATAGCCAAGTTCCAGGCCAGGCTGAGCTATAGAGAAAGACTCTGGCTTTTTATTTGTTTGTTTTTTAAAGCTAAAGCTGAGGACTTAGAGGTTAAGAGTCTGTCTTCTGGAGAGTGTCTTGGGACTGTGCTGGGAATGTCAGATCCACCAGAAATGCTGGTTTGACAGACAGTTACCGTTCCTTGATAGAGCGTCATCACTTTTCAGTGAAATGAGAAAAATAAGGTTAATACAATTTTTCATAAAACAGCATGTAGTCCATTAAAAGGACCACTCTTAACACTGGCATTAGCTTTCTGACTTGTCATATTCCTTTTGGGAAGTAATAATGCTATTCAACAACAGATTTCTTTTTTATTTTAAATGTAATTTAGCTAGAAAAAAAATCTAAGAACCAGAGCTGGAGAGACGGCTCAGCAGTTAAGAGTACTTGCTGCTCTTCCAGAGGACCAGGGTTCAATTCCCAGCCCTACATGTCAGCTCATGGCTGTCTGTAGCTCCAGTTCTAGGGGATCTGATGCCTTCTTCTGGCCTCCACAGGCACTATACACACACAAAGTACACAGACATACATGCAGGCAAACCCCTACATATTATAAAAGTAATTTTTAAAAATTCAAGGGCTTTTTTGGTACTCTACTTTTTAAATCATTTTGTGAAATCTTTGAGAGCCTCCAGTCTAAGTCAAACCTAACATCTAACTTCTTACAGAATTATATTCATGTCTCTGTGTCCTTTACCAGGATCATAAAAACAGGAGTGACATGAAACCCCGCTGGGGCCATGAGCATCCTCTTTGTGACAAACATCTGTGTAAGCTCAGCAGGTCCAGGGATCATCATCATACCCAGAAGACATATGAACTCGGATGTCCACCTCCACCAGAAGGAAAAGATAACTCAGACAGACCACAAGTTCCACAACTGCCCCCTGATCATCCCCCTCCTTCTGGTACTATCCATAGACCCCCGCATAATCACAATTGTAGTGAGCATCCTTGCTATGGACACCACCCTCATGGACCACACCCCAATGGACACCACCCCCATGGTGACCACCCCCATGGACATCATCCTCATGGACACCGCCCCCATGGTGACCACCCCCATGGATACCACCCTCATGGTGACCACCCCTATGGACACCATCCTCATGGAGACCACCCTCATGATGACCACCCTCATGGTGACCACCCCCATGGACACCATCCTCATGGACACCACCCTCATGGACCACACCCCCATGGACACCACCCTCATGGTGACCACCCCCATGGACATCACCCCCACAGTCACCATCCCCATGGACATGATTTCCTTGACTATGGACCTTGTGACCCACCCTCCAATAACCAAGAACTCAAAGGTCAGTATCATCGGGGCTATGGTCCACCACATAGACACTCAAGAAAAAGAGGTCCAGGTAAAGGACTCTTTTCTTTCCACCGGCAAATCGGATATGTCTACCGACTCCCTCCACTGAATACAGGTGAAGTTCTCACTCTTCCTGAAGCCAATTTCCCCAGCTTCTCATTGCCAAATTGCAACAGACCCCTACAACCAGAGATTCAGCCCTTCCCTCAGATGGCCTCGAAGTCATGTCCAGGGAAATTTGAGAGTAAGTTTCCACAAACTTCCAAGTTTTTTGGATATACACCTCCAAAATAAAACCTGATTCCTAGGTAGGGGAAAGAGGACAATATTATGAATAAATAAAATGTTAAGAAATGAAAAGTGTAACTACTTTAATTTTGGTTTCATACATAGGGAAGTATGGGAAAGAAGCCAGAACAAGACAGATGGGCAAATGGAAATGAAAGATGTTGTCTTAGTCAGGGTTTCTATTCCTGCACAAAACACCATGACCAAGAAGCAAGTTGGGGAGAAAAGGGTTTATTCAGCTTACACTTCCACATTGCTGTTCATCACCAAAGAAAGTCAGGTCAGAACCTCACACAGGGCAGGAACATGGATGCAGGAGCTGATGCAGAGGCCATGGAGGGTGCTGCTTACTGGCTTGCTTCTCCTGGCTTGCTCAACTTGCTTTCTTATAGAACCTAGGACCATCAGCCCAGGGTTGGCACCACCCCCAAGCTGACACTTCCACCCTTGATCGCTAATTGAGAAAATGCCGTACAGCTGGATCTCATGGAGGCATTTCCTCAAGGGAGGCTCCTTTCTCTGTGATAACTCCAACTTGCGTCAAGTTGACACACAAAACCATCCAGTACAGATGTCAATACTAGGAACCAGAGGTGAAGTCTGTCTCTTGGTATTGAGTCAGTTGAGGCAAATCTGATGCCCAGAGTTTTTCTCTGCCTTGAGTTAATTCCCTAATTCTTGAGTCTGTGTTCTAGTTATGCAATAGCTGGGTGTATTATTTACTTTTCTGCTACTATAATAAAATACTGGGACCAAGGCATCTTACAGAAGAAAGAGTTTATTTTAGCTTATGGTTCCAGAGAGATGAGGAGCCATCACGGCGGGGAGGTGTGGAAGCAAGTGGCAGGCATGTGAAGGGGAGCTGGAAGCTGAGAACTCACACGTCAAGCACAAAGCAGAAAAATCTAACTAGAAGTGACACGAGGATTTTAATCTCAAAGGCTGCATCCAATGACATATTCCCCCAGCAAAGCCATACCTCCTAAATATCCCCAGAAGACACCACAAACTGGGAACCCAATGTTCAAATATCTAAGCCTATGGGAACATTCTCATTCAAACCAATAAAGTAGGCATACCAAGAAAGTATATATTATGTTTTAAAATATTATTATAATAGTCACATGGTCTCCTAGTGATTTCTTGTCTAAATTCAATTATGAAATGCTTAGTAAAACTGGCTAGCCAAGCAGTGGTGGTCATGCTTTTGATTTCAGTACTTAGGAGACAGAGACAGCCAGATCTCTGTGAGTTCAAGGTCAGCTTATCTACAGAGCAAGTTAAAGGACAGCTAGGGCTACACAGAGAAACCTTGTGTTTGGAAACCAAAAACAAACAAACAAATAAACAAAAAACAAAACTGGCTACCAGCTGCAAAGAAAGTTTTAGCATAATCATGAGAATGAATTCAAATGTTCAAGAAATATCACTTATGTTCCAATTAATTCCCATTTAACATAGGCACTCTGCTGGACTAAGGGGAAACTAACCGTACTCCTTCCTGGAGTCCCTTCAGCCTGCCTCTCCCTGCATAGATTTGTACTGCTGCCCTAGAATCTCACATAGTGCTGAGTTTGGGTAAACACAGAGGACCACTGACCTGAACACATCTCTCTGTGAGGCTAGTCTAACTTCCACTTCTATGTCCAACTAAGGATGAAGGAGTCCCCAGAAGATCACCCAGAGACAGGAGTGCCAAGATGCACCACACAGTTATGCCCTCCAGGGGATCTGGCCCTGGCTGTGTTTCCAGAAGGAACAGCAGAACTCTTTGCTTGCACTTTAATCCTCCCCCTTCTTTCGAAATCTGGACTCAAGCTTCCGGAGCCAGGTTAATACACTTTCAGATTTCCTCTACCTTCCAGCCACAATGGTAGTTAATATTCTAAATACTGAATAACCAGCACGGCACAGGCAGTGACCAGTTCCAGCAACATTTAAAACATTAGCCAACCACAATTAACCAGGGTGACCATTCTATGGTGGGAGGCACATTCTTTGATAGAAGCATGAACACAGAGTCAGTTGATTGAGCCAAGTTGAGAAAAGGGGGAGATAATCAGGAAACCAAGAATAAACTCAAGTTAATAACCCAAAATATTATTATCCCACAGAAACATTTATTCTGTAATTCACAAAGAACTTTGACAAACATTTCTTGAGTTTATGAAAATATTTCTTGAAAAGGAGAAATTAAAAGCCCAGATTATTTTAATTGATACTCTATTGCAGTTGCTACAGTGAAACAATTGTATTAAAAACAGGAAACAGGCCAGGCATGGTGGCACATGCCTCAAAGTTCCAGCTTTTAGGAGGCAGAGGGAGGTGAATTCTGAGTGTTTGAGGCCAACCTGGTCTACACAGTAAGTTCCAGGATGGCCAGAGCAATGTAATGCAGAGAACTTGTTTCGAATAAACAAACAAACAAACAAACAAACAAACAAACAAAAGTGTTGAGGTTGTATCTCCTATAAGGCTAAACTAATTGTAATGCTAAGTGCTGGCCTACAAGATCTGGAGTCTTCACATAGCTTCTGGAAACCTGCCCCCAGTTAATTGTGATTGGTAAATAAAGATGGCAGCAGCCAATAGCTGGGGAGAAGAGATATAGGCAGGGTTTAGGTTTCCTGGGGCTAGAGACTATGAGGAAGGTGAGAGAGAGCCAGCACAGGCTTGGGATAGAGAAGAAAGAAGAATGCTGTAGGCCAAGAGAGCGAGGCTCAGAGGGCTGGCTGGAGTCAAGACCAGCCAAGATGGAACACAGAAATTAGTGAGTAGTAACAAACTCGGAGTTACTGGAAGGAGGTAGATTCTAGCAGCATGCAGGGCAGGCAGCTGCCCGGCTATTGTGCTGCTTAAGGCTTATTAAATATGAAGGCTGTGTGTGTGTGTGTGGCCCAGGAACATAAATGGTCAAAGACAGGAAGGAACCCATGCCAGGATTTTTAAAATAAGTTTTACAACACAAAAGCATCAGTCCTGTATTAAGTGTCTTTACATTCTAGTAAAAGTTTTAGGAAACATGCCTGTATAAACTGAGTTTTTGCCCCAGCCTTAGGCTCTTAGAATAATAACTCTGAGACTTAAGTGTTTTTCAATAACCTAGGTCATAAGCTTTGGCTGTTCCATGATTAGATCATAACTTGGTATTCTATTTACTCTAAGTTCTACCATGTGGCTGGTTACCTCTGCTCAGCTCCTGTGCTTCTGACCTGTTCCATGTTCTAGGCTCTCTCCTCTCTATCCCAGAATCCTTTCTGCCTACTGGATGTCCTATCTTCATTCTACCCTTTCCTATAGGATATGGGTTTTTATATTGACAAGTGATACAACCGTACAGTCCCCAAGAGATTCTCTCTACAATTCTACCTTTTTTTTTTTTTTTTTTTTTTTTGGTTTTTCAAGACAGGTTTTCTCTGTGTAGTCCTGGCTGTCCTGGAACTCACTCTGTAGACCAGGCTGGCCTCGAACTCAGAAATCCGCTTGCCTCTGCCTCCCGAGTGCTGGGGTTAAAGGTGTGCGCCACCACCGCCTGGCCAATTCTACCTTTTAGTCCAATGAAAGACTCTTTCTCTTACATCAATAAACCAATACAATAATAACAAATATGAGAACTACAAGGTAAGATTTAAACTAGGAAGGAAGGAAGGCTGGACCTAGTGAGCTAGCTGCTTTGAAGTTGTCCTGGAAGCAAGTTTGATGAATCAGCAACTGAGAAAGTCTGTGAGGCTAGATCACCTGGGCTCCTTGTTTTGCCTTCATTGGTGGCTGGTCATTTTGCTCTAAAAGCACATAAACTCCCACAAATAATATATGTTTTTGCATAAACATATGTGTTAAATACGCATTGTGCACAGATCATTTAAAGATGATCCTTTGCTTTTGGTTAGAGAAAATGAAAGACATATGTCTTGCTTAAGTTAGTTTGAACTTCATAAACAAACTGCAATATAAATCCCATCCATGCCACATGAAAGGATGGCATGTAATAATAAGTTACGAGGACTTTGAAGCCAACAGGATCTATTGGCTATGTATAGATAAGTTCCAGCCAATCTCAGAGCTGTCCCCTTGTAGCAGGATCAAAGTATACGTTACCTGCCTTTTTCATTTTGATAACTTTTTTCTTCATGTTTGTGACCAAGATTTTCAGGAGTCTCCCCCTAGCATATCTCTGATTTTTATCAATTTTGACAGAAGCCACAGTTTTTCATCTCCTGTAGAAATATATATAAAGCCTCTCCCCCAGCCTAATACATTTCTTTCCTTCCATTCACAAGGAAGAACATTCTTAATATATACAAGATGATTTAGTTCAGCAAGTTCTTTCCCCATAGTCCAATGTCTCTCAGGAGCTGTTGGTTTTTGTTCATTAGCATTCAAGTATTTTAAAGTCAATAATGCACTATGTATTCTATCTCTGGGGGTCTTTGTTACCTCTTTCTATTTGTTAAACATCTCTTTTAAAGTACAATTGGATGTCTCTACAACTGCTTGTCCTGTAGGATTGTAGGGTATATCTGTAATATGCTTTATATTATAATCTGCAAAAACTGTTCCGTTTTACTAGAAACATGTACTGGAGCATTGTCAGTCTTAATTTGTTCAGGTATCCCCATAATTGCCATAACATCTAATAAATGCATAACTGCAGAATCAGCCTTTTCAGAACTTAAAGCAGTTGCCCATTGGAATACTGAATATATGTCTATAGTATGGTGTACATATTACAGTTTACCAAACTCTGAAAAATTAAACACATTCATTTGCAAAATTTCATTTATTTTAATACCTTTAGGGTTACTTCTTGCATGTAACAGAATTTGGTTATATAAAGAACAAGTAGACTATTTCTTCATAATTTCCTTGGCTTGTTTCCAAGTGATAGGACACTTTTACTTAAACCTTCGCTATTAACATGGTGGGTTTTATGAAACTTCAAAACTGGTAACACATTTCCTATCAATAGCTGCTCAATTTCATCATTACGTTGTGGCCAAGGGCCTGGCAGAGCCATGTGGGACCTCCTATGTGTTTTATATAACAGATGATTGTATTTCTGATCACTTACA